CTTCTTGCTTCCAGTACTACGGACCTGAACAGGCCTACACTGCTGGGGGAGGGACCTGGGTAACCCATGATCTTACCATGCCATTCTCCTCCCTACCCTCCCTGACTCTTCATCATGTGTACTTAGCTCATCTTACCAGATCAATGTCTCGGTAAGGCATTCAACACTACATTTCATGATCTGATTCCTGCCTTCCCACCAGGCTCATCACCAATCACAGCTACAAATACACCAACAACAAACTGAAGTTCTCAAGAAATAGCACACTCTCTAGTAGCTCCATACTTTTACATGGAATGTCACTCCTCCCTTGTCTGCCAGACTAACACCTGGACGGGCTTCGATATTCAGCTTAAACACAACCACCTCCAAGACCTGCTGCAGCCCGGCATCCTGAGATTGGAGCCCTCTCCGTGCTTTCCTAAGCCTCTGTGCATACCTCTATCATCAGTTATTTATATGTGTTTATATTCACATACACATGCACCATGCTGTGTCATCATAGCTATTTTTCTTATCTAGCTCTCCCACTAGGCTTTGAGCTCTTTAAGTACACAGCCCCTGCTCTGAAATAGTGTGCAGTCTCTTGATAAAGAGAGATATGGCAGGTGTACAAGATGTTTAAGAGAACATAGAAGATGGAATTTCTCTGCAGAGAGGTGGGAGTCGGGAAAATGCCAGGAAAGGCTTGCAAGAGGAAATACGAGCTGAATCTTGAAGGACGAGCAGGAATTCACCACGTGGATGGTGAAGGGCCTTTTATTCTGAATGAGCCGGGAGAGGTATGAGCAGCAGAGGGTTTGGAAATGCAGTGGCAAGCAATCCCCTGTGACTGACTGGGTCCTACAGTCAACAATAGTCCTTCAGGCCGTTGTCAGCATGAAGAGCCCCATACTCTGAGAATCAGGACTCTATCCATAACTGAGTATAACCAGTGGATTGAAAGCAGTAGATGACACAGTCAGATTGCGTTCTGTGTTTTCAAGCAGGTAAATTGATTTCTTTTTAGAAACTTAATCAAGAGTGAAGATCTGTGATATGTAAAAAGCCCACAAGATAGGCAGACAAATTAACTATACTCATTATCCCACTAAATTATCTTTTCTGAAAAGCACAATCTGCTTATTAAGATTACATCTTCATCTTTTTATCCTTTTATAAAGAAGTTGTGGTCCTTCCACCTTTGAAAGTGTACCGAACTGAACCAGACAAGGCACTGGGAAGCTAGTGCATCGGAGATAAAGACATGTAAGACACAGTCCCCAGCAGCATGGAACTCTCAGTCTAGCCGAACAAATGACACAGATCCACAAATCGCCACACTGCAGAGCGGTATGAGGCAGGCTCCACGCAAGTGTTAGGACTAAATGTGAGAAAGGAGCAGAGACTTCCTCCTGCTCAAGTCGGGAAGGCCGAGGGAGAAGGTGGCCTTTGAGATGGGATGTGAGTCAGGGCTGCTTTTCGGTATGTTCAGTTAAGAAAGAACACAAACTTAAAAAAAAGTGTCGTCATTCATTCCTAACGATTACTCACTTTCAGATGAATATTTGCTTAGAATTAGCAGTGTTGGTGATATAAAACAGAAAAAGCCAACAAAAGATAGAGAAAAGGCCTAACATTTGTAAAGGGTGACTTTTTTTCAGTCCTGATATAAACAAATGTTGAATTATTCATTTCTTTTGACTGGAGGCCAAAATAGTAAACTGGAGATAATTTTTTCAGTAACTTAAAGCTACGAGATCACATTTCAGTCAAAAGGTAATATCGCATCTTCTCTTCCAAATTCTTCCTGTCCTGCTTAACGTCACTCCTCTATGGAGGTCGTTGTGATGAATACGGAGGCTGAGGAAGTTGACGGAGGGGGAGGGAGGTTTGAGTGGGACAGTGGTGGGCAGATCGTCAAATCACAGCCTGTGTCCTGCCCAGATCCCAGCCCTGAGCTCCAGACCCCAACACCCAACCACCTACCAACCCCTCGACTTCACAGCCTCAGAGCACTTCAAGCACACCACACCAGCACCGACGCCACCACTTGCACTTTCTCCCGTGTTCTGCAGCTCCCCCAATAATACACCTGAAACCTGGACATCATCCCTGATTCCGTCTCCCCTCACTCCTCAACCATCATCACCATGACCAGCACCATTTTCCTGAATGTGAACTAACAGGAGCCAGTTACTGAGCAAAATGCTTTGTATTTTCTCATTTGACCTTCATAAAACCCCTATGAAATAGGCCTCTTATCTGCATTTTACCAAAAAAAGAAACTACTGCTCAGAAATGTTAGGTACGTTTCTCAAAAGCACAGCTTTTTGAGACCTGGTAGCAGCCAGGTCTCTGTCTATGAAGCCCACAGGCCCACCACTGCCCAAGGCATCCCTCTCCATCTTTTCTCTTTAGTACCTTCATTCCTTTTCCTTCTCTCTGTTCCCACCACTACTACTTAAGATAAAACCTAATTTCTCATCAGTTTTACTGGAACAACCTCTAGCCCTGAGCCTCAAATGGCTCTTCTCTAAATTGCCACTCAAGAACACATTCTGAAACGGGCTCCAGAACCTCAAATGCCTACAGGTCCCAGGCATTTGCCCTGAGGAAGCAGCAAGCTGCATGGTCAAATGAAATACATGCTCCTTCTTGATGGGGCAGCTGCTAAGCAACCGACTGCAGCCTAACTCCTCGCTGCAATGCAGCTACTGGTTTTACAAAAAGCCTGATATCTGCCCTGGCAACTATTTTTAAAAAAAATGTTAAAATACTCTGTAAGTGAAACCAAATCCAACTATGTGTCAGATCTGACCCAGCAGCACCAGCTTAAGACCTCTGAAATATAAATTTGATTATGTGCTGTCCCTGCTTAAAATCTTTACAATGCCCCTCGACAACTCTGGCACAAAAGCCAGTCTAATAAGATGACATCAAAGGCCTCCCCTGAGTCCGCCCATCCTTACTTATTCCACAGCATCTCTCATCAGATGCCCTTCAAACACACCACCCAGTGATGGACTCTTAGAGTTCTTACATTTCCTGGAACGAGCCCCTTGCCCTGTGGCTTCTGAAGTTTTAATGCATTTTCCTGTCTGGCCAGGGTGCCCTCCACTTGACACATCCCTCAGGACTTAGCTGGGCCACTAGTCCTTCACTCCTGGTCTGAATACACCCCCTGAGACATAATCTCGCAGTATCCTATCTCAAAACACATCTGTATCAAAACACAACTCTCATCAATATTGTCATCCTCTGTGGTCCTTCAACGCTGACCGTAATGACATGAATGCCCAGAGCTTCATCTGACTGATGTGGTATCTGCAGTGGTTGGCCCAGCGTCAGGCAGATGCTAGTGCTCGATATGTATTGAATAAATAAATCAACTGAATAGCACTGAGTGTATGAAATCGTCCTTGATCCTCTCCAGTTGGAAGTGATTCTTCCTCCTCTGCACAACCTCAACTCTTCATCTCTAACTCTTTCCTACCTTAGAATACTGGAAGGAATGGGACAGCCTCTTACCATTCAGCTCCTTGCAAGCAAGAGTCCACATCTTACCAGTCTTCGCAACTCTCCCAGCAACCACCTTCACTCCTTGCCCCTAGTGAGCTCTCCAATGTTTGTCAAATCAATCACAGTAACTCTAAATGCAATTTCAGTTTGCGAAGTAAGTGTGCGTCAAATAAGTCATAGCATCTGTAGTTGTAACTCTACAGTTAAATTCTAGTTCCTTCGGTTCCTTTTCTTTGGGTTAGGTAACCAAAACCGTACTCTAGTCCGAGGTTTGCAAATTGTCTCCTTTTCACTTCTTTGAGTTACACACACACACACACACACACATATTCATTTGCAAAAAGCAATGTGAACTTCATTAGAGAAGTGATTATTTTCAAAAGATGGGCAGGGTAAACAAAATGTATTTAAAAACATGCTATACTATGGATACTACAATGGACCCTAGTAAACACAGTTCAGAATTCATTTGTTCTATGTATCATCACACACTAATAGAAGCAAGCATTTATCAAGCCAGCAACAATCCTGCAAAATAGGTTTAGAGAGTAGAAATTGTGGCTCAGAAAAGTTAAATAAAATATCTAACATCTCATGGTCTGCAAGTGACAGGAACAGGTCCTGTACCCAGATCTGTGGTGACAAAGCCCACTTTCTACTCCCTCTATGGCACTGCCTCCCTATCTCAGTCATAGCTCAGCTAGTTAATTCTGGAACTGTGAGTAACTATAAGATACAGACACTTGAACTTTTTTAAGCCTCCCTGAAGAAATTCCTTAACTTTTATTTCTAGCATTACCAATTTTGTTCCCAAATGTTGTTATCAAAATCCTCTCTTTCATCTATCCGGTGAAAGTATGTTGTCTTCTTGGCACCAATTTAATTAAATAGAATTTCACATATTTCACCAAAATTTTCCACTGAAGTGTCAGTAGGGTGATCTGTTAAGTGGCATTATTCACTTCCAAAAATACTTTAAACAAGGAACTCTTTATGTACCAAAAAGAACAGCATGAATAGTTGTAGGCGCTACTATAACATCTTACATCTTTTATACAAAAAAAAATTTCTTACCTGAATTTTTCCATGAAGAATTAATATGAATACAATTCCCTCAGGTTAATGATAGGCTGGTGTTAGTAATTTCATTTGGTGAACTTTGTGGGTTTTTTAAAATTTGCTTCTTTAAGTATTAAAAATATAAACTGTCCCTTTAGGTTAGAATGGAGGTCAATTTATTAGATTCACAAAATAAGAGAAAGAAATTACAAACTGAAAGGGAAAAGTTTAATGTAATAACTGAAATAGAGTTAACTTAGTATAATTATGAACAGAATAAACACATCTCCAAGGAACATAGTTCTCCCCACAAAAGCAACTCAAAAAACCACAACTGATGTTAAGTTTTATTGATTAATTTTGTGAAGTTATTATTTAGAAGTTATGCCTTTTAAGACATATATTAGCCAAAATTATTGCAAGAAATATGTTCATCTAACCTTTGAGCTGGCACCTTATCCTGGCTATTCTCTGCCTTAAGACGTAGAAAGCTGCAAAACAAATGTCCAAAAAAAGAAATTCCAGATCTTTTCTCTGTAAGGAGGTGGAACTTGGGTATTTATCAACTTGTTACATTCCCGGAGACTTACACATATTCAACTTTCAGTGCTTTTCTGAAACAAAAAAAAATCTAGGACATGTTTAAAATAGTAATATTTTAGTCACCATTTTGTCATTAGAAAACATTTTGTAACAAAAATATTAACCAATAACTGAAGTTGTGCTATTCTTTCATAGTCCAAATTCTAAGTTAAAATATTCAGACCTTTTGTGACACTGTACCTTCCAGTCCAATTTTTCACTTTTCAGAATATTAATTTTTGGTTCCAAGAGACAGTATCCTTTTATTTAAATATGTGTTGGACAAAGTATCTGAAAAAAATTAAAACCTTTGATCAATTAGTAACCAAGGCTGGTAGATTTTAAATCGGATATATCTTTACTTACCTGCTTTCTTAGATACTGTGTGTTCCCTTTTCTCTTCAAATTTGGGGAAGAAATATTAAGGGTTTTTTTTCTTTCCTTCCACAGCATTTTCTTCTTGCATGGCTGCTTTGGTTGTCCATAGCAACAAGAATTACCCTGAAAGCTCAGCCATTTCACTTAAAGGATACATAAATAACTCAGTTTAATGAAAGTGAATGGAAGAAACTTGAAACACCACTAATAATGGTCAGGATTTGACCAGCCTAGAGACCCTAGAGGTAAGGGAAGAGATTATTTTATTACTTCTCTTTTGCATTAACATCTTACCTCCTTAAAGCATAAAACACTCACTTTCATTTTCAATTTGTATATTTATTTGCAGAATTTAAAATTAGATGAATAGAGCCTTCTTTTGGGCACCAGCAAAAGAAAACAATTCTATGTTCAATTTGATTTAAATGTTGTAGTAATTTTATCAATGCAGAATTATTGCTCTATATTTTTAAAGGCACATATTAGATTTCCTTGTTACAGATTTTTTTTATGTTGGTTAGGTTTATAAGAAATTAGTGGGGATTTTTTACTGTTGTTAACTTCAAAAGAATTCACCATACCTTGATGTTGATACATTTCTTAAAATAGATAATGAAATATATCAGGTACAATCTAAACAAAAAGCTGAAAATAAACCAAAGCATAAACTAAAAATTAGATTGCATATCACACATTAAGAACAATTGTTTATAACAATGGTTATATATGAGAAGGGAAGAATATAAAAGGATACCGTTTCTTTAATACTCTTTAATTGCCAATTTTGAATAATCTAATTTTCAAGAAAAATATATTGAATAATTTTAAACAAAGGTTTAAACAATAAAGAATAGCAAACATCATTATTTCCTAACAGCAGCCAAACAGTTCTGTATAGTTTATTTTCATTTTAAAATATCGTTAAGTTGGGTCACATTTTTCCTACTTAACAGAAGTCAGCCTTGACAGAGATTTTGTGAATTTTATAATATTGATATATATACATCCACTAATAAGGCTTTTAGCATGAAACTTTAGCAAATGCCCCATATTTTAACACTTGCATTTTTAAACTATACAAAACTGCATTTTAAAGAAATGTTAAACCTGGAAGAGATTATTTCCAGGAAGTTTCTGGAATCTATTTTCTTTTGACACATAAGGAAATTTTCATAGGCAACCACCACCATAATCTTTGTGAAAGTTGCCAAAAATAAATGCACTACATGTATTTTTTTGCATGTGGTATAAACACCACCGTGAGAAGCACTAAAATAGGATTCATTAGTAGCACCTAATATAGATGATCCTGTCTCATTTCCTCCTAAAAATCTGTGTTCTTTACAGCCAGTGTAAAACAGCCACAGCAGTAAATACAGGCAATGTTACCAGCGAACCCCCTCAGTTCTCTCCTGCCACTTGCCCGAGAACTGCTGCTTAGATACCTCTGAGGCTTCTCAGCGATGCTATGCACTTCACTGAGGGCCCTCAGGGATGTTAGGCATAGTTAAAAACAATAAGCACTCTGGTGACTTTATGAAATTGTGACTAATATAAGCCAGAGAAACTAAATTATTCAGGGATTACTCCCTGCGTGCTAAACACAAGTTTATAGATTTGGAGGCAATCCTGGGCTGTGGACGGTGTTAAAGAAAATGAGGGATAAGAAACCCTAAGGAACTGAGCCTACTTACGATCCAAATGTATGTCTATCATCTGGTATATAGTTTAACTTACTGTAAAGGATTATAAAATGCTCAAATGTTAGGCCAATCATAACCATTGAAAAATAAATAATAAAATGCTTCAGGCTAAGATAACGGATGCAGTTTCCACGTGACTCATACAGGACTCACATGGCCTCTTGAGCACATAGAGCATAGCCTGACACATGTACCTCCTTCCAGGTGACAAATGCCAGGTACATGCATGGAAGGGAAAGGTCCCTCCTGACACTGTACATCTACTTCTCAACCCTAGTCTTTAGCTAGAAAGTAACTCTAAAAATTCCCCATGCCCCAACTTTAAATGTCATGCCATATTTCTCATTGTCAAAAAAAGTTAATGTTAACTAGACCACCAATTTACACCATACACAAGAATAAACATGAAATAGATAAAAAACTTAAATGTAAGTCACAAAACCATAAAAATCCTAGAAGAAAACATAGACAGTAAAATCTCAGATATCTGGTGTAGAATATTTTTTGCCAATATACTTTCTAGGGCAAAGGAAAAAAATAAACAAATGGAGCACATCAAGGTAAAAAGCTTCTGCACAGCAAAAGAAACCATCAATAAAATGAAAAGGGAACCTACTATATGGGAGAACACATTTGCCGATAATACATCTGATAAAGGGTTAATCTCCAAGATATACAAAGAACTTATACAACTCAACGCCAGGAAGACAAACAATCCAATTAAAAAATGGACAAAGGACCTAGATAGACACTTCTCTAAAGAGGATATGCACATGGCCAATAGACATATGAAAAAATGTTCAACGTCACTAATTTTCAGAGAAATGCAAAATAAAACTATAATGAACTATTAACTAACACTTGCCAGAGTGGCTATCATCAATAAGTCAAAAAACAGCAAGTGTTGAAGAGAATATGGAGAAAAGGGACCCTAGTCCACTGTTGGTGAGAATGCTGACTGATGCAACCTTTTTGGATGAAAAAAGGTTGTCACCCCATGACATTCGTGCACCTGGGGGGGCAGGGGAGTCCCTCAGCTGGCCTGCACCCTTTCACAGTCCAGGAGCCCCTGGGAGATGTCCTACTGATGGCTTAGACTCACTCCCCACAGAACGGGCCTAACCTGGCGGTCGGGCATCCTTAGCACTGCCACAGAGGCGGGAGAGGCTCCTGCCACCACTGCTGCGCTCACCAGCCTTCAGCCTGGCCTCTGGCTGAGCAGTGCTCTCCCTGTGGGAGCGCACTGACCACCAGGGGACAGCTCTTGCATTGAGTGTCTGCCCCCTGGTGATCAGTGCGGGTAATAGCGACCAATCATTCTACTGATCAGTTGATTTGCATATTACCCTTTTATTATATAGGATAGCTAAGGTATGGGAATAGCTCGCATGCCCATCTGTAGGTGAGTGAATAAAAAAAGCTGTAGTACATACACCATGGAATACTACGTGGCTATAAAAAAGAAGGAACTCTTACCCTTTGTGACAGCATAGATGGATCTGGAGAGCATTGTGTTAAGTGACTAAACCAGTCAGCGAAAGACAAATACCATAGGATCTCACTTATATGTGGAATCAAATGAACAAAATAAACTGATGAACAAAATAGAACCAGAGGCATGGATACATGGAACAGACTGACAGAGATTAGCCAAAGAATATAAATGCATAGCCCATGGACACAGACAATAATGTGATGATGAAGTCTAGGAGGGGTGCAGGGACTAGGTGAAGGGGGACAAACGGGAGGAAAATAGTAGACATCTGTAATAGCGTCAACGATAAAAATAATGATAGTAAAAATAAATTGAATGACAGTGGGAAAAAGTTAATATTAGTGTGGCAAATGCTATTCATAGACAACTATTCAGCTATGTACATTTATAATACCAACATCCAGGACAACTGATCCCATGAATAACATTTTAAGTGAGAATTTGGATGATCCCAACTTTTAGTCCACTACTTTATAAGTATTAAAGCTACAGAATTCATCAGACTTTAACACAGCATTAGAAAACAGAACATTTAGCAAATACAGAAATTATTTCTTCATAAATTATGTTTAGTTCCCTCAATTTAATTATTTTAAAAACAATTCTGTCTTATTTAGAAAATTGAAATGTCTTAATTCTTGGACATATTTAGACACCAAGATACAATAAATCTTTTAATTCATCAATGATTTAAAAATTCAATTCAAGGGTCAAAGGACCTTGAACCATTACCTAGTAAAAACTATTACCACAGTAAGTGTATGTAATATAAAATCAACTCTAAATACCCACATACATTAAAAAATACAACTAAGCATGAGTTGCAATTTATTTTTCTATTATTTGTTATTTGTTGGAATGCATGCATACAGCAGATAATTACCAAGTACCTACAAAATCTTAACACTAAAGAAAAATAGAAGGTACTGAACTTTAAAATAATATTTTGGGTGGCAGAAAGCTTATATTTGAAAAGTCTATCCATGAAGTAAGTTTCTGAAAATTTAGCAACACACACCTTTGACCATTTAGGGATCTTTCATAGAAACTGAGTTTGAGAACTCTGATTTATAAAAACAAGGCTAAAGATTTTGAAAAACAACATTGTTTTTGGCAAAGTAAACCTAAATTCAGAAATTCTTAATGGTTTCTTCCTTTGTGTATATTAGCACAAATTTAAACTGTGATGACATCTTTCCTGAAAGTTCATAAGTCAGTATCTTCAAAAGCAACCCTAATTTTGTGATGTAATGTTATAATAGGAAAACAATCTCAGTTTTGAAGAATTTATATAATTAATCTACAGCAGCGATTTTCAGCCTTTTTCATCTCA